GATAATGTGTCGTTAATTAAGATACCAAGATATTTTATATGGGATGTGTTCTGTATTAAAGGGCAATCGCATTTATTGACTGAAGGATATTGGCATTGGTGTGCGTATAAGTTAGGATTTGTAAACCCATGACAAGGCTGGCGCATAGAAAAGTGAATATAATTGGTTTTGTCAGTATTCAGTGTTAGTAAATTGCAGCGAAGCCAGTTATTTACACCATTAAGACCAAGTTGAGCTACCTCATATAATTCTGACCTACTATTGGCGCTAAAAATCAAGGCCGTATCATCGGCGTAAGATATAATTTTACCATATTTTAAATTAAGGTTACATAAATCATTGATGTAAACGAGAAAAAGGGTAGGGCCGATTATACTTCCCTGGGGAATACCATAGCAGGTCATTTTCTGGTAATCACTTTTAATATTTCCTATTTTAACGCATTGAGATCGATTGTCTAAATAATCTGCAAATGTATCCTACGCCCCAATCCAGGTAATAAACTATATGTGTGCCAAATATCATCCAAATCTTTTCAGCCGCTTTTGTGTGATTGATTTACAAACGTACAAACTAGTAGGATTGAACGCGTAGTTACTATCCTTAATTTAAAGTGTAATTTGAAAAGAAGTCGAAACATTATAACCGTTAAAAAAAACTATGTATAGAATTCTATTTGCTTAATAATCTGTTTAATAGTTTTTTATCAAAGTAATTGGCGTGTGTTTAAATATAAATACTGCGATAATAAAGATTTTTTTTCTACACGATCGCAGGTTGGACTGGGTTGAACCCGTCTTCATCTGTCGCTCGGTCCAAAACTATCGAACAAAGTTCTTTGGAACTTAAACTGCCAATACATGTTGGCCGAACTCAACCCAACGCGAGCGTAGGCAAACTGATACAAGGTAACTGCTACCGTATGAAGACCGCGGGCAAGTTTGGAAAAGACAAGTGGCCAATATATACGAACTTTGTCGAGCTGCCATACGTATCAGTTATTAGGACGACGTGAGACAAATGTTACCTAGCCGCAGCGAGTGCCGGCAAGCGACGCCAATACTATACACGTTGGTGCTACCCTTTACTCGGAAAATTAGGCAAGCGACACCAAGGGATGACAAGGCAATGTCTGTACGTTGGTATTAACCTTAGCTTGGCCAACTCAAAGAGGCAGCTTTGGAGTCAGTTCCAATGGTCTGTTCTTATAAAGTTGTTTCCTGTTGCGTTTTATGCAAAACTTCTGATATTTCCATAAGAACTAAAAAACCGATTTGTTTAATAACCTTTTTTTCATGTAAGGACTACTTCTTAACTTCAGTCCAGGCACCAGACTAAGTTTAGGTTTTTTTCTCTGTTAGTATTATTCTACGTGAATTGCGCAAAACTTTTTACCATAATGTTCAATATCACAGAAATCAGTATTCAAATATATGTAAATTGACCGATGCTTGAGCCTCCGTGGGAATATGAAATATTTTATGAAAACTCTTTTGTTTGAAATTTAAATGAAGAGAATGGAATTTTAATATTAGACATATTATTATGTAAAAGTATTATTATTGTTACTCATGTGCATACCTACGTCGCTTAAATGAACGGACTGATAATTTTACAATAATAGGTTAAAAAAAATATTGTACAAAAGAAAAATAGCAAGACCGATATAGATATTGTTATTGACAATGAGAAAAGAGATTTTAGTTTGCTTGAGTTTGTTTATTTAGGTTGTTTATTTACAAGAGACGGATTGTATAAGATGCTATTGAAAGACGAATGGATATATGAAACAGAATAACTTAGAGCTCTATTATGAAACGAAATAACGGAGCGTTGGGATTCCAACTATATTCAAGCGAACTAATGATTTGTTTGTTACTTTCTTACGAATCCTTGGAGTAATTTCAGAAGAATTTCGGAATGATTGATTTCATGAAAATGGTGTTACATTTTACTGGAATTGAAACACTTCATGAACAACTGCTATTTTCAATGTTCCAAAAGTTCATGGTCTAGTTAGTAGATAAAAAATACTTTCAATTTCCTGAGAATATTCATAACCACCAATCCATTATGCACTGCTTCTGTTCTATCAGATACCACTCCCCTTCCATCACTCACTGCTCCCCTTCCATGACTCATCGCTCCCGGTCCTTCAATCCTGACTCAAGGTCTACCACTCACGACGCCCTGTCCATCACTCGCCGCTTCCAGTCCATCACTCCTGACTCCCCGTATATCACCAACTGCTCCTGGTCTATCACTCGCTACTCCTGGTCCATCCTCGCGACTCCCGGCCCGTCACCCGCCACTTCCCGATTCATCACTTGCGACTCCCGGTCCGTCACTCGCCGCTTACAATCCATCAGTCACCATTCGGCTCCATCACTACATCATCACCCGGTATATCACTCACTGCTACCGGTCTATCACTCGCTACTACCGGTGCATTACTCGTGACTCCCGGTCCGTCATGCGCCACTTCCCGATCCATCACTTGCGACTCCCGGTCCGTCACTCACCATTTCACGGTACATCACTCAAGACTCGCGGTCCGTCACTCACCCCTTCCGGTTTATCAGTCACCGCTCCCGGTCCATCACACCTGCTTCCCGATCTATCACCCACTGCTCCCGGTCTATCACTCGCTACTCCTGGTCCGTTAATGAAATAAAATGAACTAACTTCGGGAGAATTTCGGAATCATTTATTTCATGATAATGGTGTTGCACTTAACTGGCAATCATAACATTTTAATGGAGAATAGCTAAATTTAATGTTCCAAAAGTTGATGGTCTAGTTAGTAGGTATATAAAGTACCTCTAATTGGCCACCATATACATTAAGTAATTCCGTAATAGACCATAAGACTGATATGCAATGGGGCCTGTATCTTCAGTTATTTTTATGATTAGGTAGTCAAATCACTTTATCCCACTATATGGTAGTTCATATGTCGGGATGAAGTGAATTACCAACTCCTAACTACCACACCAACCTATTATAAATATTTCTAACACTCACACCAATTTAGCCTAGCCCCGTAAGTAAGCAAGTTTTATGCTATGAGATAATAGGGTAATGGATAGAATACATTGAAATATGTAATAGTATATTTTATCTATGAAATCATAAAACATTCCTGACTTGTGTACAAATCCTCGTATTTTCATGCAAACATTTGCCCCACCGGAATCGAGCCCAGGACCTCTGAGTGGGCGCACCTTAAAACGCGGCATACATACAACTCGTGCCACGGAGGTTATCAAATAATTCTACAAGCCTCTGTTGAAGGACGCAGGTTCACGTTTAGAAAATTATGATGATGAATTGTCAAATTATATTATGTCGCAAATTGTAAATAAAATACTTGGAAGACCCTACAGGAAATATAATATAGTATCTGTTGAAAATACAAATTCTGCAAAACTTTTCACAGAAAAAGGAAATTTGAAATGCAAAGGTCTAAGGTAAACTTCGTTTCTATGTCCCTACTCGTGTTTTCCCTTAAAGAGAATTCGACAAAATATTCGGTGGAATTTCATCAATTGGTGTGGCGCCGTATCGCTGCTCATCATATTGAAAACTGGTTTCTATTAATTTTGATGCATGGTATTTTTTTTGTAACTTATTGATGAAAACTATATTTTTAATATATCCACAATGACTAAAAGATATTTTTCCACATGATAAAGTAATAGGTATGTTTCGGGTAGAATTTCGTTCAGAGAGATCGTTTTCATCAGAATATTATTATATGTCAGTATATTGCTACGTTTATTGGATAAGGAAAGAAGATTGATTTTTAGGCCTTATCAGATTAACCATGCTTACCAGAATAGGTATACCTACAAAAATTTTTACGCAATCAAAATAGTAAATTATTTGTGGCCATGTGAAAAAATCACATTATTAGTTCTAAGTAAGTAAGCTTAAATGGCTTAATCGACTTTAGAAAAAAAAAGTTTGCTGGAAAAATCTTATTTTTTTCCGCCTAGCCTCCATTTGCCATACCGTCTGAAAACGAGCTTCGTTTCAATAACAATTATAATAATTCCTAAATTATATAGAAATAAAATAACAATAACTTAAAAACTACCTAATGCATAAAATTTAAATACAATTTACCTTAATTATTTATATTATAAATTTATTATTATGTGTACGTAACAACTCTTGGCAGCAACCGTTTCTTTTCTCATGTGATATAAATTTGGCCGTACTGGGCCTTCGTGAATCTACTAAGGTGTTGTGATTTGTTTTTCCACTATTGTCATTGCTCTCATCTGAGAATATTACAGTTTAACGCACCATAATTTGTAATTAACCAATAATGTCAATAAATACGTCATATCACACTCATTTTACACAATATTGTTTATTAAAAATATTTATATTGTGTGAAAGATGTAAATATGTGCGAAGAGGAAATAAGGATTGTGGAAAAACCAACCGCATAACCTTAGTAGATTCACCGGCACATGCTTGTCAGCGTACCAGATGCTTTTGAATCATGGCCCAAAATGCTTATTAAACGGCAACTACAAAACCCTATACAAAATGCAATTGGCCAGTTTTCTTAACATAATACAACGAGGATTTTTTTCTAGTAAAACTTTTCTTTAGATTTAAACATCTAGCAGTTAAATGCTTAAAAAAAATAACAAGACTATATTTCTTCTTTCGAATGTTTAATACTTGAAAAAGTATTCATTTGACATTGTGGGTTACCTGCAATGCAAAGAGATGGCGCTGCCTTGCAGCTTAAGTCTAGGAAAATTTCGACGCGGCCATCAGGGCCGTGGTAGCATAATTGGTCAGTGCATTCTCCCGGATTGCGAAGGGTGCGGGTTCGAGTCCCGTCCGCTGCCTGGTCAACGTGGATTTTTTTCTAGTAAAACTTTTCTTTAGATTTAAACATCTAGCAGTTAAATGCTTAAAAAAAACTATAATACCATTTATCAAAACAAAGGAATAAGTTTGTTCATAAATTGTTTCAGATATGCACAATGGAGGACTACAACTTTACTCTGGACATGGAGAACAGATCGGAGCCATACCAGCCCTATTACGAAAGACCGGAGACGTACATTGTTCCCCTGATCTTCGCTCTTATATTTGTCATCGGGGTTGTCGGCAACGGCACCCTGGTGGCTGTGTTCGTGAGGCACAAGGCCATGAGAAATGTCCCCAACACGTGAGTGAATATAGCGTATTCTTTTTTTTTATGAAAGGCGCACTAAATCACCTCGACTGTCCCAAATCAAAACACAGTAAGCGATTTTTTTTGTCAAAATGCACCTTGAAATCTCTTATCTATTAGACAAGTCCGTCCGTCCGTCCGTGGTGCTGTTTCAGCGGCCAAACCGTAAGAGATAGATAAAGAGAATGTTTAAGTTATAAGTTGAGAATAGTCTGATAAGACTACAAACCGGATGTGAGTAACGTAGCACTTCCAGTTTTCGAGAAATCACGTGATTTCTATTTCAAACGAAACCACACAAAATCTCCGAAGTTCTCAATTAATTAAATACTTTTTTTTTTTTTGGTGAACATTTGGTTCACTGGTTTGCTAGTTTTACTATAATCTGCTTTCAATTGTTTATGTGCATTCCATACGAATGTCGCTTGCAATCAAATGAGTTTTCCCGGTCTCTAACTTTTGATTTCCGCTATATCAATAAACCGAATTTCAGATATAAGATACCCTCGTGTAGAATTAAATATACTTTAATATTAAATAGGAGAACATTTTCGCTATAAGCAAAAAACTGCAAAAAGAACAAAACCTTGGAGATTATTTAGCTTCATTCATTTAGAACCAAACGAAGTCATTTCAACGATTTCCAGCTTTCTAAAAGTTATTTTCTTTAAACGTTTTTCTTGGAACTTTAATCTTATTTGTTTGGATTAAATCCTATTTTAAGATATTTGTATTTAACTTTCTTCATTCTAAATAAAGGCCGGATGAAAACTTCCTTTAGGAAGAGAGGGATGTTCGATCTTTATCAAGTTGAAACCAATTTGTCTCCTCCCACCTCTCTGGCAAAAGTGACCTTCTATATGCATTTTGTATAAAACTGTTTCCTATCCTATTTCACCAAAAGTCACGTAACAATAAAGCTCCGACTGGATGATAACGTAAAAGTTTTATGGAAGTGTTTTCTTAAAATCTTAAGGGACTTCAGTGTTCGACTCAGTTGAAAATGTTTATCTTAGTACTTCGCTATACTTCTAACATTTAAACGTGTTAAGTTTGGTTTTTTGAGACAGCAAAAAGCAATAACATTTTTCCGGAATAAAAAGTATCCTATGTCTTAATCCAAGTAATATATTGACGGGTGCCAAATAAAAACAGACATCTGCAAAATACCAACTTTACAGGAGAACGAAAAGATCGAAAAAGTGTGTTATTTTTCTAATGAGTGCACCAATAGTTCTGAAAATTTTATCATAATCTATTTATACTCTTATATATTTGTATATTAAGCTATTTTAGCTAATTTCTTGAAAACTTACGAGATTTTACAGATAGCCATTCTTACATCATACTTTAAAAAATGATAACTGAGTCAACTATCAGTTGGTCGTGTATGCTCCGTCTGGTTATACATACCATCCGTATACATACATAACATCCGTCCGTATAGTTATACATAGCAGCCTCAGTATCACGGCTATTATATTTTTTTAGTTTTAAAAGCCCATCTGTTTCCTTGATGTCCAGTTATTTTTTTATTCTTCCTAATTGCAGTTTGCGTCGTTCTTTATTCATTTTGAAATTGTAAGGGCTAATGCAAATGGAAAATAGAATAACACCTCGGAATTGCTGCCGTTAAAGAAAAAAACTTTTCTTAACCTAAAAGGTACGCGCGCGTTAGAGAATAAATAGTAATATATGTGTGTCAAATTTCATTTAAAACGTGTCTTCTCCCCTTTTTCCACGATTCAATAAAAATGTGACATAACTTGCTTTATGTAGCAAGTAACATTCGCTTCATTTTGAGAACAAATTCAATTGTATACAAGTTGAGCGTTTGTTCTACTAAAATTGCCGGTTCTCCTTACCTATAACATATACACACGAATTGTATGTAAAGGAAACCCAAAAAAGACTTAGTTGTTTAACTTAAACAAGCTACTGTAATATCACCGAAAGAAACAATTTAGCTAAGGTATTTTATTATCAACCGAAATTCGCTCCGACCTTCTAAACGAGCTCCCCAAATGCAATAGATACAATATGCTTACTTTGATGTCTTACGTTAACAAAGCATAATATTTATGTGACTAAGGAGACATGTGTACGTAATTGCAAGTAATCGCGGCTTGAACTCTTATATTTTCGTACGCACAATTTATTTAATGAAATAAAAAAATACCTTTATTACTTTTTTTTTAAACAATTATGATAAACAACCTATATGTGTGTATGTATGTATTTATAAACTCGGTCCGTCACAATTGCTTGGACCATGATTTATAGGCGGAGTATCTTTAGATAATACCTGTAACCCAACAGTGGGGACATCAATAGGCTGGTGACGATAGCATGTATATGTTACAGTTAAAAATACTAGTCGTCACTCCGAGCTTTAGTTAAAACTAGCACTAGGGAAACTAATTTGGCATTGAAAACAAGATAAAGTCTTCGTTACGATTTTTAGTTCTCGTTACGTCCGTTGCGGCGCTGCAGTTCAAGTTTCCATACAAAAAACATTCCATTCCAAACAATGCCATATCGAACTCGCAAATGTTACGAATTCGTTGAATTTTGTTGAATTCTACATTGGTTCGTGCTAAGGGTACCCTTAGCACGAACTAATATCGAATTCATATCGTTTGCGAGTCCGAAATGTCATTGTCAAATCTATACTGACTTTTAGTTCCCGTTACGTACTTTGTGGCGCTGCTGGTGAAGTCGCCATACAAAATTTGACATTGACATTTAGCACTCGCACACTATTCGAATTCGATAATGGTTTGTGCTAGGGGTACATTTCTAACTGACTCGCTTCGGAAAAACGCGTGTTGTCTAGTAAGACCTAGTTTTAACTGATATTCCATTTTGAGCATTAGTCAATTCTAGTTTTAACAAAGGCATTTAGTAAAAACTATTTCTAACTAGGGAAAACGCGTTCTATCTAAAAACTGGTTTTAACTGTAACATATATATATATGCCTTATAATTACGACTAGTATTTAATGTTTAAATTTAGTTACAGAGTTAATAAGAAACAGTATCCAGTGGTAGCTAATATTGATTTATAACAAGTCCATTACCTTTTAAAACGGGATAAGTATAACAATCTTTATATAGGTATGTACGAGTATCGAAGTATTGGGCGCTTAAAAGATAGATGAAAAAGATTATAAACACACGGCGTAGATAAGACTATTGAGAAGGATGTGTGGGCTAACGGTAATGTATAAAACAATGGATGAGTGCTTAAGAGCTCCAGTGACATACAACTTAGTAAAGTATAATTTAACTTAGTACGAGGGGAGTGATTAACATAAGTTTTGAGATTTGAAATGGAAGTAATTTCACCTCGAGAAGAAATTGATAGAGAGTTATGGACGAAAAAGAAGATAATAGGAAGGCGACGGTTAATATAGAGGGATTCAAGAAGAACATATACTTGACAACCCCAAAAATAAGAATCTGGGTAGAAGGATCAAGAAGAAAAACAAATACGAAATATCAAACCACACCACAGAACTTTCATTAATCGAATCTGAAAATCGAGATTTTTTATAAAATCTCGCTTTAACTGCGCTCTAAGTTCACTTTTTTCGTTTTCATTAAGTCTAGGTTTCATTGACCGAAACGCAAAGTTATATCAAAGTCGTCCTTTCTAGACCCGAAAACAATCAAATTCTTAAGAACTTGGAAAAGCTTCACAAACATAGCGAAACTTAGCCAGTCACCAATAGGCCAAACTCATCAATATTAGTTACGGTCAGTAAAAGACTGGTTAAGAACGGGTCGGACGCACACGGAGAGACACAAAAGAAGTAGAACAAGATTTATCACTTAAAATTCAGTGATAGATCAAGGTCAAGGAAAGATCTTCGAAAATTGTTGTTATTAGATACGACTTGTACGCTGTGTAACTTTCTTTTGTGTGCAAAGGGTTTATTTCTTATAAAAACATACAGTATACTTATAATGAGATTTACAATTTAAATTTTTAGAATTTCCTTCTTATAAAGTTTTGAAGTTAAGTGTGATATACTCTTTTAATTTTGTTGTTGTTACGTGTTATTCTTGTACACGGTGAATTAATTGTTACATTTCTAAATAAAACATTTCTTATAACCATTAACTGTTGCAAGCGCCATGATCACGGACTATCAGTTACTACGTTACAGAGTAACTGATACTCCGTGATCATGGCGCTTGCAAGTGCCGAAATATCGGAGACTCATAAAAAACAAGGTACATAGTAACAATCCCATTAAAAGCTATAATGTTAGTGACCATTTAAGTTTAAAACAATGAAACATTTATTTTTTCTTTTTATTTGAATTTTTTCACCAATGTTTCTTTATGACGTTATCACGTAAAACTATCCGTCCGTAAACCGACTTTCCAGACAACCAATTTTGTTAAGTGGCAAATTGCCACTTTGAACTAAATATGCCACTGGCAATAGAAACACTTTCCTGGAAAATTTTGACTCAGAGCAATGGAGTCCAGATCTGAGCCACCCACGTTTCGTGAAGCGGATTGCTATTTTTCAATTTAAACTATCAAATTCGGAATCATAGAGTACAAGTTGTCCCGTTTTCATTGCTTTAGTGTTTACCTATTTTGGTACATGAGATTTTCACCCGCTTACAAACGAATAGCGCGGGAACTAAGAAACAGGGTTTCGTTATACCTCTCTAAGTACGGCACCCTAATAATGAGACAGCGTCAACTTATTTCAAGATCAATAAGTATTTATGGGGTTATTACGAGGTTTATAATAATAATAATAATAATAATAATAATTCATTTATTTCAGATAACTGTGATCCATATTTGTTAGTAGACTTATTCTATGTTAGTAGTATGTAATAGATTAATAATAGATTAGGACAGTACATGATTTTTTTTTTCTTTATGTCTTCATCACACTCACACAATGCTTGATAAAGCAACTATCCATTTTGTTGGCAACAGTCATTAGGATGGTGTTTGAGCTTGCT